TTCCAGAGCAACCACTACTCATAGTGAAGCCCTGCTTCCAGGGAAATGGCTGGACATCACCTGCTGATGGAAAACAGAGAATAAATCTTTTTTTTCCCTTTGCTTCCATGCACGGCCTTTGCTTTTGCTTTATTAAACTGTCCTTATCTTGACCCACATGCCTGTTGTTATATCTTCTCTCCCCTGTCCAGCTGAGGAGGGGGATGGATAGAGCAGCTTTGGTGGGCACCTGGCATCCAGTCAGGGTCAACCCACCACGCAGAAGGCTTAGACTAGATGGTCTCCAGAGGTCCCTTCTAACCCCTACCATTCTGTGAAAAGTCAATATAGCACAAACATACCTGTGAATTAAGCTGTTTGGGGGCAGATGCAGGCAAGTTGCTATATCATGGACCTCTGCACTGGCTACTTAATCTCCAAGTGATGTGTGTTCTGCAGATCAATCTCCTGTGCAGACATAGCCAAATTCCGGGAACTGGTTTTAAGGCTGTCTTGACCACACAGCTAACTATTCATGTACCTTCCCGGTATCCTTAGCACAGAGGTGTGTGAGCAGACATCTCAGAAGTAGGTGGAGGTTTTTCTAGAGAACGCTTCCCTCCGGCAATTGCTGACAGAGGAATAGTCTGTGACACTGTTACAGGATGGAGGAAATGATAGCAACCCCTGTAGCTATTATTTGCTGCCATTAGTGGCACGGGCGACGGGTGGAAAGATAATGGAAAGGCGATGCCGTGTCCATGCCCTGCCTTCAAGTGCATAGCCTGAAAATCCAGCCTGATGTTTACATAGTGTTTTCAACCTGTAATCTGCTAAATGCTGCGATTAAATAATTCTGCTTAAGGTTATAACTGGTTTTAAATTGTACAGTTTAACATGTAGCATTAGAATTGACAAATGTCATTCCCCCCAACCTGGGAGCTGAGAGCTGGAAGAACATCCAACAGTTGCGGAGGGGAGGAAACACCAAAAGGAGCAGTACACTGTATTGGCAACTGGGGAAGAAAAGGGGAGAAAAGTGAAAGGGAGCGGTGGAGGGGCCTACAACATGGTTATTTTACACAGGCTGTGCTGTTGTGCTTGGCACACATTTCCTTTATGGTAAGGAAGCCTGGCATGAAGTGGCAAAAAGACTGCAATTTTACTGGCGTAGCAAAGGTTGTGGCAACAGGCTGTGCCAGTGTGTGTGGGCACCATCCCCTAGAGAAATAACTGACAGTGTGGGGTGCAAGTCTTGCTCCCTAGGGAATAAGGAAGAAAAAAATAAAGAGACTTCTATGCTAAAAAACCATCTTTTGTAAACTACACAATGGCTCCTAAGAGCTGAGGGGCAGGAGAGAAAGCTGTAGAAGAGTTTTGGCTGCGCTATAGGATGGAGGTAGTTTTCAACACTGCGTGTGCTTTTGCTATGAGCTGAAATGACAGCAGCTATGCAACGGGGCTATGAACATAGAGCGAAGCAAAGGAAGAAAGGCTCAAGGAACCGATCCTTGGGCTCTGGCAGTCCCAAACCACAAAAAACTGCCACATGAAGGACTAAGTTACCTGTAGACTTAGTCTTCACTGAGGACTGTGAAATATGACCGTTTATACCTTACTACATTCATGTGATACTGCATTCATGTATGCAATCGGCTTTTTCCTTAACCTCTTTAATGAGGTATTGTTACACTTGGGAACGGGGGAAAATAGCTCATGAGGTACCAGAAGGTTTAGTTCAATTTTTTCCCAGATTTCAGGACAGGCTTGAAACCGTTGTTTTATTAGCAGCCCTTGAAGAATTTGAACTGGCCCCTGTGACTGTCAAACAAGCCCTGACATAAGTTAGACTAAGAATAATTTAATGCAAGGTTGGACCAGATGATCTCTAGAGGTCTCTTCCAATTTAGACTTTTTTATGATGGTATAAATGGATTATTATTTTCTTTAATAGCTGCTTGACTTAAAGTGAAATCTACATGAATAACAGATTTTTTTGGTTAACTGGATGAACAGAAGGTTGAGGAGAGAGACATAGTGTTGGGAAACAAAATTTTCCAACAGTCAGCAAGCTTTCTTCTCCATTACAGAAATGCTTAGCAGTGTATTAAGGCATTGCTTTCCAGGCAAAATGTAACAATTTCTAGTCCTTTCACAAAGATTATATTCTGTTAGGGTTTTTTTGAACAAAATGCTACTTAGGATGAAAAATCAAAATGTTTAAACACACATTTCAGGCTTTTTTTAAAAAAAAAAAAAAATGTTTTTTTCTTGAGGAAACTATTCTTGAATTTCTGAAGAGGTGACTGAAAGTACTGATAGTCTCCAGCAAGCCCAACTTAATTTTTTGCCAGATAGACTATTTCATTAAAAAACAATCAATCCCTTTGTCTGCTTAATCACTGTTCTGACAGGCTGCAAAGGAAAGATGAAGAAGTCCTAGTCCATGCGGCACTGCACAGAGTCGCATGAAGGCTAAATAGAAAGCCAAACCTAATTTTGCAAGGGGACGTTAGGAGCCATGGGTTCTCCTGTCCTGCAAGGATAAAAATCTTAGCACAACAAGGTCCACCGTTTTAAAAGCAAATGCATGAAGTTTTGCCCACCAGCCTGAACAAATCCATTTAAATACCTGGGCTCGCATGCAAGGGTACTTAGCAAGCAGCATCACCGCTTGCAAGTTTAATGGGGAATGCTGGGTGATCAGGACTTTTCAAAGCCATACCAGTTACTTTGTTACCTTGACAGCTCTCAGGCCTTGGATGCACATTTGCATATTAAGATGCACACAGTCTACTTGAAGTTAATAGGACCACACAGTTTAACAAAATAAAATTTTTTTATGGGTATTTAGGAAAGATTTTGAGCCTTGCTTCAGGCATTTTGCTTCTACATTAAATCTTGGCCCAAGATTTTCCTCATATAGCTCACAAGATTTCTCTAAATTCTTTTCCTTGCTTTCTTCCTCACTGGTTTACTAGATAAAAAGAACCATTCATCATAACATTCAGCAGTAATAATAATTCAAAATAGACTAATTAAATAATAGGTTAAAAGATATCAAACCTCTGCAAAAGGAAAACTGACATCAGCAAAGACCCTTATAGTTTGTTTGAATAAACCTAAACAATAAACAGAAACTGTTCCCTGATGCAGTGATCCTTTTGGGTGCAGCATTAAAGCTGAACTTAAAAGCCAGGATCACTCTCCTGGACAAGTTAAGCAAACACAAGACTCTGCTCCAAGCATCTGAACAACACTGACTGAAAAAAATAATGAAAGATGAAGCAGAAGCAAGATTCTGATTGACTGAGGGCATATGGGAGACCTAAGGACAACAATCAATCATGGATCTCTAAGCTGTTTAAAACTACTCAAGACGAGGGAGCCAGCAAGGGAGCAGCACCTGTGTACTCGGACTGGCTGCAGTGCCTCTAAAACCAAACCCAACCCAAATTACATGCCATGAGAGCCTGCTCCTTGCACTCCCCCCCATTGGCGAGGAGCCCCGCGCAACCTGCGCCCCATTACAGGGAGTCAATTGAGCACAAAGACAGAGGTCCAGGTCTCTAAATATTTAGTTTTCAGCAGTATTTTGGATTTCCCAGGCAGAGGTGTCTGTTTGGGCACGTCGGGACAGGAACGCCCAGCGCAGGCCACGGAGTGTGCAGGTTGGATGGGGAACACAACCACTGTCGCTGCGTTTGAAGCTAATCAGGTTTGATGTCTCACCTCTTGGTTCAGCATGGGCTTGCAGCCTGAGTTTTTGTTGGTGATCTGCAAGGGTGCTATCTGGCTTGTCATATCTAATAACTTTCTCTTCTGAAGACTGATATGCTGAAAGATCTGTGCTGCTGATGTTAAAAGCTGGATTTTCAATGCCTTCTGTTGCTGCTCTCTCTTCTTTTACTATAGAAAACAAGGAGGTCAGAAGAGCACATTATAGCAAAGTGTATTTCAATGACAGGCAGAAAATTCCTTCTAGTAATTCCTTTGCTGAAAGACTCGAGTGTATCGTCCTCAAATGTCGCCAAAACAGAATTAGGTTAAAATTAACTCTAAAAAAAAAAAAAGAATAAATGATTAAAATAATTACAAATTGCACCCTGACAAGCAAGAGCAAAATTTCGCCCACAGCCATTTGTCTGTAATTAGTTAATTAATCCTTACACAAATTATGAGCAATAACTCATCAAGCAAGGCTCACCCATCAGAAATTCAGCCGACTTGGATTTCTTCTGCTTAGTTTGCTTCAGAGCCTTCTGCTGGAACTTCTGGAGGGAAATTGTTAAATGAATAAATTAGCTAAAGAACGAAGATCATCCTTTATGATCCACAACTAACACAGTATTTTAAATATGGGATGGCATTGAAATGTCATTTAATTTACATCTCTGCTAAAGGGGTCAAACACTAATTGAACAACAGAAGTGGAAGAATTAAATAAAATAGGAGAAGAAAAGTTAAAACAAATGCCAAATGAAGGTCACATTAAAATACTTTGGGGTTTTTTTTTTGCAATTTTAATTAATGCAAAGAAACCTCAACAAATGAACAACGTTAGAAGACTTGTCTTTACAGTATACATTCAGCAGCAACTGCTTTATTTCACTTTCAGAACTGCAGCATGTCATTTGGAAAAGTTTGGTTACGCAGCATATTTATAGACAGACATCCCTGACATCTCCTGTCCTCTTATTTTCTAGGTCCACTTACATAATCAGTGTATTTGTTCATCACAGATAAGCTAAAAATGAATAAGCTCTATCCTTCCATATGAGGCAATAAAATAAAAATAACCTCAAACCAGTTTACAATGAGATGTCACAAAAGAGAGATCGTGGTCCAGGGGAGAGGGGAAGCAGGACTCATTACAACAATGAAAAGTTATTTTAATATTAGAGACATGCCAACAACAGTTACAGGGAAAACAAATAGCAGGAGATCTTGGAGGACCTAAACTCTGACAAGTTACATGTTAATTCCTGTGGGGAAGCAAGGCTCAAAAAAAAAAAAAATAATACGGTCATCAGGAAGGCCCAAGTGCTAAACACTGTCTTTGTACAGCACCTTGAGCAGCGCTAGCAAGAGAGCCACATGTGTGTGGCTACAAACCCCTATAACAGGCACTAACAGTCAAAGTGGGCAAAGATTTCCTAAAACAAAACACATCTGGGAGTATTAATCAAAGCCAAAACCAAAGTAAGAAAACAGTTCAGACCCATTTATTTTTGGACGCCACATGGCAGTTTCTGAAAACAGCCTTTTTTTTTTTTTTTCCAAGCTAGTTGCTTAATTGTCCAGTGATAAAGACCACTCCTGGCAACATAGCTCCTGGAAACTGTCAATACAAAAGTATTAATTACAAGAATCATTGAAAAATTGCAAATTTTACAGTTCCATCTTTCCCATTTGATTGTGGGTGTCAATTTCCAGTAAAAAAACCCAGCAATTGCAGCAGACACAATCAATAAATCTCTCAAAAATAACTGAACCATACTGACAGATTAATATAGATATTAATATCTTTTTATATATACATGTATATATATACACATGCATATACATTATTCTGAAAACAGTGAACTTCCTCTAAATTAAGGCTATAACCTCACTAAAAAGCAGATATATGTAAAAATGGCCAGACACATCCTGAAAGCTACAATAAATAAACACTATAACAAATAGTTCCTGCAAATCACATACAGCACAACTGAAGTTAATGATAATTTTCACGGGAGTTCAATAGGTTCAGAAATTCACACTATTGCTTCTGGGGTTTTCCCCAGCTGAAGAATCTTTCAAAAATACCTATTTGCTCAGTTAGTATCTTTAGAATTACATCTATTCCGCAATATTAAA